AAGTCACAGATGACAAAAATAGAGTAGCTTTCTCTTCAGTGTAATAGCATGTTTGGGAGAAAGATGTTAGTTTCAGTTTTGTCCACTTTAAATTTCAGATACTTATTGAATGATTGGAGATTATCCTACAGATGGAAATGTGGGGTCAGAGCTGAAAAATTTGAAAGCCAGCTCTAAATTGATAACAGTACATGATGTGGGTGTGTATGGTATTGCCAAGAGACATTTCACAAGACCTTGAGAAAATGCCAACATTTCAAAGGTGGTCGCGGTGATTACAGGAGGATGATAGAGGAATCTGCTTAATTTTACTCCTCTCTGAGCTTTCATGCAAAGTTCTAGTAATGAATTTGTGTAGAGACATAGCATCTAGAAGGAAAGACTAAATGTGGTGTTGTCTATATTTCTTTATTTACATTTAAAAAGCCAGAATAGATATTTGAGTTATAAATGGCCAGTCTAAATTGTTTCTCTCTTTAGATATTAGTTTATTTTTGCCCTGCAAGTAAGTGAATTTAAGAACTAGGTTTATTTATCTTATATGCTATGATTCTGTGGTAATAAATCTTAAGACTTCTTTAGCAATAATCAAATGTATTTGAATTGTTAGTTCCCTAAGATGGTTATTTCTTTTCTTTTTAAGATTCAGATTTTTGTCGGCTCATTGTTGTGATGTTATATTACTTAGTTCATGTGTTACTTAAAATAGGAAAACAGAAAGTTGATGTAATGTAAAATTGAATGAAAACAGGAAAACAGTAAAGTTAATGTAAAATAAAATTGAATGAAAGTTGATGTAAAATTGAGTTAATACTAGGGCTGGCCCTTGATTTTATTGATAGATGGTACCTTTGGGTAGCATCTCTTGGAGTACCTCCACTCAACCTTTAAACGCAAGCACACACAAACAAATATATATATATTCCTTAAGTAACATGTGTTTGATCTTAAAGCATATTCCTTATCTGTACTTGATTTGAATGGTAAGTCAGACATTGAATATGTTACTGTTTTTTTGATAAGAATGTGTTCAAATTCCATTTTAAAGATATTTTTAGGAGTGGATACATGCTCATTATATCTTTACAAAACATTCTTGTTTGGTTTCCTTTTACTGTATTTTAAGGTTAGATGTGACTCTAATGTTCCACAATGAGACAGAGATTGATAATCTGGAAAGAATAGCCCTTTAATGTGATTTATATCTATAGATTTTATGTCAGATATGAAAAGTTGCTGTTTAAATTGTAAAGGAGGATCCATTAAAGAACACTTTAAACCATTTTGCTATTTAACTTACCTTGGACTCTTCTTTTTAGAATTATGCGTTTTCAAGCAAACTTTAGTGGCTTACTAAATGTTTGCAAAATATGATTTGATAAAGTTAAATTATTCTAATATTTTATTAAGTAAAGAAGTAATAGGCCATTTAAGTCTTTTTTGAGTACTTTTAGTACATTTAATATGAAGGTATCTGATATTTCAGGGGAGTATAGACGCCAGTTATTTTCTAATTATCATCAAGAATTTTAATTTCCTCTTAACAAGTGAACTTAGACAAGGGCAGACTATGTATACAGTAGGGAATATTGAAGGTGTAAAAATTCTACAGCTATCTACTGTTTTGTCCTGTTGGCGTCAGTGTATGGTTGGGTTAGCAATGAAGTAACCTTTAGAGTGCTGCCTGGTTCCGGGAGCAATCTCTGAAAATATCCATAGCAGTTGACATTTTTGTTACATTGGAATAATTCCCTAGTAGTTATCTTCATTTAAACTACTTCCCTTCAAGTATTTTTTAATTACATTTTCTTTTATTTCCTCAAATCAAATTTTTGACAAACTGAACTATCTGTCGTTTGTTTGGCCCAGTCTTTTGTTTTTAATATACTTATGGCACTTACCTTTCATTTCTTATAAATTAATCTAGTGTTTAGCATGCTTTATTTTCTCCACATCAATGTTTATGTAAAAAAAATACTTTGCCTTTACCAGTGTACAAAAACTAACCTCTTAGAGGTTACCTAGAGTCTTCTAATTATAGAATTCTTAGCACTTCTCAAATCCTCTCATTTTACAGATGAGGACAGTTAGACCTAGTGAAGTAAAGCGAGTTAGTTGTCCAAGACTGATAAGAGATAACTACAGGGGGCAGGAAGGGTATAGCTCAAGTGGTAGAGCGCGTGCTTAGCATGCACGAGGTCCTGGGTTCAATCCCCAGTACCTCCTCCAAATATAAAAAAAAATAAATAAACCTAATTGCCTCCCCCTCATAAAACAAACAAACAAAAAAGCAAAACTTGTGGGAAAAAAAAGAGTCTGGTAAAAGAGTAGATCTCTCATGTTCTTACTACAATAAAAAAAAAGCCTAAAAAAAAAAGATAACTACCAAGGATGATGCTTTGTTCTAGTTTTTGTTTTGCTTCCCAATCTTATATTTATTCATATATATATATAATACATATTCATATATATATACTATTATTTCTAGTTTTTTTCTTTTTTTTGAGTCCTCACTCTGCATTCCAGAACTTCTTCAGTCTGTTACTTCTTCTACCTGTATTTAGTACTTGGGTCAAATGGTCTTGCATCCTCCTTTCTGAAACTGACCCATGTTTCTGCCTTGCCTTTGCTTTAAGATTTTTTAAACATTCGTCTAAGAATAAGTTGTCTTCTCAAAATGTTCAATTTTCTGTCTTCCTTCATAGACTTTCATATACACCACTTATTATTTTCTATATACCTTTTTATTAAAAATTATTTTTAGCTTCAATTATTTAATGTCAGTGACATAACAGTCAGCCCTCTGTATCTGCAAGCTCTGTATATGTGGTTTCAACCAACCGCAGATAGAAAATATTAGGGAAAAAAAGAATTCCGGAATGTTTCAAAAAACAAAACTTGAATTTGCTTGTGTGCCTGGTAACTATTTACGTAGCATTTACATCATATTAAATATTATAAGTAATTTAGAGATTTTTTAAAGTACAGTCAGCCCTCTGTGTATCTGCAGGCTGCTTCTGCTGATGTGGAGGGCCTGCTGTATTCTTTGTACTGTGGCCATTTTATGAAAGAGATTTAAGCATCTGCAGATTTTGGTGTCCATGGAGGTGTCCTCCTCATACAAGGAAAAACCGTACTTTTATTCCCACTTCCTTCCTCACAGTCGAGAAGGAATGGGGATTCTCCAGGGCAAAGGCTATCAAGCTAATTCAACCTTTGATCCCCACAGCCTAGTGTTTTGCACAGACTAAGAGATACTTGATTCCTTATGTATGTACATGAACACCATGTCAGTTGGGTTGCTTATAGTGTTACGAACGGAAAACCCAATTTATACTGGCTTTCAATGAATGAATAGGAGTTTATAGGTTTTCATAAAAAGTCTTAAAAAGAAGATTTCACAGAAATTCTAATGGTAGGCTGGTCTTTGATTGATCCGGAAGTTCATGATTCCATTTGGAATAAACTATTTCTGTAATTCCTATAGCTCTGCTCCCTTTGGGTTTTGGCTTCATCCTTAGGCTTGTTTCTCTCTTGGTGCATTAAGAGCTCTCAATACTTCTGGAATTATGTACTTTCTCTTTTACACCCTAAGAGGAAGAAAGGAACTAACCAACAAAACTCCTGACCTTTCTTCTTAATGCAACAATTGGACCAAGTGCCCTTCTCTGAGACAGTTTGTCTTTGTGAGTGTGACTGTTACCTTCATTGGTTTAGGACAGTGAGGCCCTCTTTTGTCGCTGAGCCATTGCTGGGATAGTGTATGGCAAAAGTCTGAATTGGTGTGCAATAGGAAAGGCACGCAATCACAGTGTGTGTCACATACATAAACTAGCGATACTTGTTCCAACGTCAAATTTTTGTTACTCGTCATAGGTTGTGTACTCATCATAGGCTGTGTACACATGTGAACGTATTGTGAGCTTGCATTTGGAGGTTAAGGGGAGGAGCCCAGTAGACCCTGTGACTAGAATTAAGGATCAAGTTTACGTAATCTTTGTTTTTTTATTTTGAGCAATTAATAGATAGTATGGCATCATAAACACGACACCTTAAGTATCTTGAATTCCAGAAGAAAAGAAATAAACATCTTGGAAACTAGTGATTTACTGTATTGGATTATTGCTAAAGAATCTTAAAAAATCTTGAAAATTGATGATATCTAAGACAGTACTTTTCAAACTTTAATGTATAAATCACCTGGAGATCTTATTAAAATCCAGATTTTGATTTAGTAGCTATGGGGTGGGACCTATAATTCTTCATTTTTAGCAAGTTCCTAGGTGATTCTAGTGCTGTTCGTCCATTTTGCATAGCTAAGGTTTAAAAGACCAAGCTTTTTGTCATTTTTAAAGGTGTTGAGAACTAGCTTCGTTTATTATTGTAAGTCACCACTGTGTCTTTTCGGGACTTCTGTGGTAGCTTATAACTGATCTCCATCCTTAACTCTCTTGTCTTCTTACCTTCTGTTCTTTAAATGGCACTATAGTGATCATTTTAATATATAAATCCATCACATCATTCCCCTGCTTAACCTTCCACTGGTTTCCCATTGCATTAGAATAAAATCTCAACTCTTTCCCATCGCTGCACAATACTAACTGGTACAGCCTCGCCTACCTCTCCAAACTCATTTCGTATCATTCTTCCTTTTATTCCCTTTGCCTAAAGTGCTTTGTTGCTGCTCTTCATACTGCTTGTAATGTTGACCCCTGCATTTTCACATGACTAGCTTCTCTTTATTCAGGTCTCTGCTTAAATATTAACCACTTCTGAGTGTATCTTATGAATGACTTCAGAGAAATAAATTCTTAGGGGATTGTTTTTCCTGAGACAGTAGATCATTGCAACTCTGTCAGTTCAGTTAATGAGGGATGTAAAAGTCACTTTAAATTTTTGGTTGGTTCAGTTCATACTAGAGATTATTTTATAATGCATTTTGAAGTTCTTTTCCCCCACATTTTTATAGTATTAATAGATGTTTCTTTTTCCTATCCAAGTCACTGTGTGCCCAGTATTCTGCAGACAAACGAGAAGATGAGAAGATGTGTGACCATTTGATAAGAGCAGCTAAATATCGAGACCATGTGACAGCAACTCAGCTAATCCAGAAAATTATCAACATTCTCACAGACAAGCATGGAGCCTGGGGAAATTCTGCAGTGAGGTAAAGGTTTACCTGTAGGATTTGGCTACTGGTTTTCTGTAGACGGCCTAGGTTTAGATAAATGGCTTTGGATATGATCAAGGCCAGATGAAGAACAGAGTAATTTAATTTTGTATTTTATCATCTACTATGAACTTCAAGTAAAGGGGAAGGAGAAAATCAGTGTGGACACAGTTGGGGACCTTTGTGGATCTCTCAGTTCCCTCAGTTACCTCTAAAAGTATCGTTGCTCATACGTTCATTCATTTTGAAGTGAACTGTTAAGGGAAGTAATTAATGTGGACTGTTTTACTAGCTGCACTTATATCTGAATTTACAAACACAATATTTTATTTTGAGAAACTATTTCCTATTTTACAATTTTAAGTTTTTAGCACATACATTTGAAAACTTAATAGTATGTGTTGTTTTCTTGAATTATGTCGCAAATTGCAGGGCTATGATGATAAAAATGCCTTCCTTAAAATTTTATTCATTACATCTACCTCCTTTTAAGACCATCAAAGTGAACATGCTGTTTTTTTAATGCTAATTTCTAGAACCAATAATTAATTGCCTTCTAGGACTGAGATACTTAGAGAAATCATAAAATTTAGTCTTTTTGGAATATTTTATGCTATAAGTCTTAGAACTGTGTTTTGACCCATTTAAGTAATGTTAATGAATAAATTCTTTATTTTTCCATTAGAAAGATATTTTTAAATTCCTCATTTCTGCATAACTTTTTCTAGAAGACAACAACAAAAAAAGAAAATAGCAAATTACCTGTACATTATATATAGGTGTAGCTGGCTTCTGCTTGTGTTTTAGTCAGTTCATGTGTCTAGCAGATGTCTAAGTCTAGTTTTAGAAATTTTCCAGTAAACAGAAAATGATTTTTAATTTCTTTGAGCTGAACTTGAGTTGAGTTGAAAGCTACCTGATCTTGGGATGTTTCTGTTTTCAGTACAGATACTTTCTAATACAGAGCAGACCTATCACATGACGCTTATCATGAAGAATATGTAAATAAAATGAATTTAATTTCTGGGCATATTTTTGGTTATCAGAGGGAGGAATGCAGGCCAAGAATTTGAGGGCAAAAGGACTGAATAAAGGCAAGAACCATGTTTGTTTGTCTGTTTGAATCCTATTCTGGCTGATCTCAGCTGCAAGAATGGTCATGGAAATGATGTGAATTACTGCGTCAGAGCTCTCTGATACCTTGTCTTGCTGCATCTAAAAGCCTGTGGGTATATGTTAGTAGGGAGTGGGGAAGGGCAGTTGTATTGAGGGTTTTAGTTTTAAGATACTGTAATGTAACAGATCTGACTCCAGGTACTGAATAAATTAGGAGGTTACTTTGACGTACAATACTTGGCACATACTGGGAACTCAGTATGTTACTTTTATTTTTTTAAGGTTAAAAAAATTTTTTTTCTTAACCCGAAAGGAGTTTTGTAGTTTTAAAATGAAAATCTTTCTGCAGTTTATACCAATTGTGTCATTTTTATGAGATCAAACTTCTTTCCAGTGATAGCTATACCTTTGTATAGCACAGTATATCTGTGCTATCAACATGAAAGCATTGTTTTTCTGAAATGATTTTGGTGTAATAAAGTATCTTGGAGAACTAAATGGACTGTGAAATGTATTTATGTAGAAATAATTAGTGTTTCCATAATAGAGTTGTTTAAAGGCTTCAACTCTATTATTCTATACAGCCAGAAAAAAATTGAAGTAAATTCTGAAATTTTAATATTTCCCAAAATTCACAGAGCATTTTTTGCTTTCTTGCTTTCACATAAAAACAGCTGTCAAATTTAGCTTTTAAATGTGTGCACTTTTAATTAAGAACAACAACAAAGGATGCACCATTGAAAGGAATTGATATTTTTCTCTCTATAAATCTCATAACTTATTTAGATTTTATTAAAAACAATGTAGCAAGGCAGGTTGCCTCCATGCTGATACTTCTTTTGTCATTATATTTAGTTCAGTGTAACATTCAACTGTTACTTATTTAGAACACCTGGTGCTCCCTAGTGCCTTTAATATAATTATCTTAAAATAGTTCTTTTCAATATTAATTCCAATTAAAGTGAATTTCTAGACCTTGGTGCCCTTTTTTTTTGGTAGCTGTGTAAGAAAATGTAGTTGGTAAAATGCATGCTGGCTTACCATTCCAGTGGTTAACTATTCTCTGACTTCCCTTGTATGAGGCTTGCATAATCAGCTTGTAAATTATGGACATGGTTGTAATAAATGAGACTAACACAGTGTACTTTGTTCTTCACTTAGCATAATTCTAGAAAACATAAATGGCATTAGAGAGAAATCAGAGTCATACTGTAGCTGTAATGCATTTAACTATCCTAAGCCTGTTAAAAGAAATATGCACAATGAGCAAAATTCTAGTAAAGAGCATTAAATTATTTTAAGTATAATTTCTTTGTGTTTTATCTTAAGAATTATAGTAGCATTTTGTCTTATAAATTCAATCATATTAGAATATTTAGAA